CTGAAAGCTCTGGCAACTTCGGGGCCTCTGTAGCCTTGCTAAGCTCCTCTGGCCTTCCGCCTTTTATCACCTTCTCCAGGCCCTCCAGCAACCTTGACATAGGATCCGAAGCACCAGCACTAGTTCCCACCCCCGTTGTCGCATGAGCACTTGAATCCCTAGCTGCTCCTTGGCTTGCAGGCACAGTCCTTGCAGGAACCCCACCAGCTGCTTGTAAGCCCGATGCCGAAGGTATAGCCGAGGTTGTATGTACGCCCGACACCGATGGCATACTCGTAGTTGCATGTACGCCCGACACCAATGGCATACCTGAGGTCGCTTGTACGCCCGACACCGAGGGCATACTTGAGATCGCTTGTACGCCCGACACCGAAGGCATACTTGAGGTTGCTTGTACGCCCGACACCGTTGGCATACTTGAGGTTGCTTGTACGCCCGACACCGTTGGCATACTTGAGGTTGCTTGTACGCCCGACACCGTTGGCATAGCTGCTTGTACGCCCGATGCCGTTGGTATACTCGAAGCCAAGTGCCCACCCAGCGTCGTAGGCGGTCCTGTTGGCCCTGTTAGGCCCTGCTGACCTTCAGCTCTCAAGCTCTCCAGCTCCTGGCGTAGATCATGAGCTTCTCTTCGAGAGGCCTCCAGTTGGCTCACGACTCCCCGTAGTTGCCGTTTCACCTCTTCCTGCACAGCTTCATAGGTGCTCCCGCCTGAGCTTCCCTCCTGCCTGTCGCGTATGGCCTGGCCATACAAGTGAGGTGCTCTCTGCTCCATGCGGCGGAAATGATCCTGCTGCTCCGGACTCAGCAATGAAGGTGCCGCCCAAAGCCCTCCATCTGACTCAGGCGATCCAGCAACGCGAGTAGTCCTCTGTGGTGGCGACCCCAGCGGTGAGGGCTGCCAGGGATTCTGCTGCTGGCCCCTCATCTCCTGAAAGAAAGCTCCCAACCGTTGAATCCACGCAGGGGCCGTTCGCCTTGTAGCCATTACACTCCACGAAGCCTGGGCAGCATTCATTTGATTATACTGCCCAGGGACATCAGCCAACCTGGCCTGAGAGGCTTCCACTCGCCCAGCAAAGCCAGCATCTACTGATGTCCACATCGAATTTCCAGGGCTCTGGTCCGTGGCCACTGCCACAGCCATCGTCCTGACTGCCACATCTTGCTCTGCTCCTTGGTTGCCAGCCACCACTGTGGTGTCTCCAGCTCCTGGGTGTACATCTATAGCGGCAGCTGCACTTGCGGTATTTGGGCTCATACCCTGCTGATGTACAACTGCTGGACTT